ATATTTATAGTGTATAAATATGAATAGGTAATTTTATAGAACCTAATGATTATAAATTTTTGTATTTGTGTCTATATGTGTAAGTTGGTATCCATGGTGACTCTTAATTGTACCGATATTGTAGTATGATCAAAGATTTCTCTTTTGGTATTTATAGTGTATAAATATGAATAGATAATTTTATGGAATCTAATGATTATAAATTTTTGTATCTGTGTGGATATGTGTTTAGTTGGTATCCATGGTGATTCTTAATTGATAATTGTGCCGATTATTGGATATTGTAGTATGCTGATCAAAGATTTCACTTTTGATATTTATAGTGTATAAATATGAATAGATAATTTTATGGAATCTAATGATTATAAATTTGTGTGTGTGTGTGTGTATGTGTATAAGTTTTGTAAATCGTAATAAATACGTGGAAATGTTTGTGGCTTGCTTAGATACTCGAACCGTCATTTCCACCGCCCATGCCTCCGGAACCTCCGCCCAGGAAATATGGGATCTTTGTCACTCGACCTCCTGGCCAACGTCGTCCCGCAATTGCAGCTGCGTCTACACCACCAAAAATCGGATTCAAGTAACTATGCTTCTGTCGAGGCTTCCTCGGAATCAGCAATTTATCAACGTTGAGTATTTCTTTTTCTTTTTTTGCTTTTCTCATCTTCCTTCTTTTCTTCGACTATATTTTCTGTTAAGAATTTTTCCAAATTTAATTACTAGAATTTTAAATGGAATCCTTCCCTTTTCAATCGTGGAAATCAATTTTTTTTTTTTATTATGTATCTTATAAATTTTTATAAGAAGAATATAACGTAATGAAAATGTACAACAAGTTTTATTAAATAGAAGTTATTTTTCGTAATTAGTGATGTTTTGTATTTATTGTTGAATTGAGGAGGATAAATGTCTATGATAAATGCTAATTAGTTTACCTACTAGTTTTGCAGGGAGAGAGTAATGTGTTTCTAATTCGCTTTCTCTTTTCCCTGTCAGCAATACGAGTAATTGAAACATTAACTAGATATATAATTGAAGCTATTCATAACTTTCTGAAATACATGAATTAATAAGTGGAAGTTAGAGGTTATGCGCTTCAGAAAATCATCTCGCTCGAACTCGTTCGGATGCAACAACTTTCGAATTAATAAAAGTCGAGTTTGATCGTTTGATTTTCAGAAACGGAAAAATTGATCTGGAGTGGTGGAGATCGCCGACACAATGAAAGAAAAAGGAAACGATACGATAAATTTTGGAACAATGCCACTTCGTCGCGATTGAATGTGAAGAAATTGAACAGTGAAACTCTGAAAAACGTGACGCCCCTTACTAAATCTTTGTTGGGTCTCGTCACTATTTTCACGAAGGAGAAATTTTAAATTTCTGTCGAAACGTCAAATTTGTGTCAAATTCGTATTTAAAACTGTGTGTCTATTTTTGTATTATTTTGTGCAATATAAACGAAAAAAAAAAATAAATTTTTGAACTATTATTTTATACAAAAATTCATATTCGAATATATTTGGTATGTAAAACGATATAAAAATTATTACGTATAAATAATACTTTTTTGAAGTTGTTGTCTCATTTATGCTAAAATTAAAAAAAATTTTATCAATTCCTCCATCTATAATATTATAAAACCATATAATATTCGTATTAAAATTATATAATACTATGCATTATATGTAACATCAATCACGCAATAATATTATAAAAAAATTCATTCGATTCATCTTTTTATCCATTTACATATTTTATTTGAAATATTCGTTGAATATTTATCACTATATATTATTAAATATTTATTAAATATTTATATATTAATTTATTATATATTTATATATTAAAATCATTTGTAATCTCCGTTTTTTTTGCTGAAGATTACCAAACCAAAAAAATCCCGGCAAATAGTACGATAAGAGAATGTTTGGGTAGATGAGGAAAATTAAAAAAAAAAAATAGAGCTTCATTTGGATGCACACCTCGTAGAAAAAAGAGACTCTCAAGGTAAACGAGTAATTGCACTTGATTAACCGGACCTAAAAGATTTTATGAAAGTAAAACAGGAGTTATGTATATATGTGTGTGTACAGGAGTACGTGATTCTGATCTGATCTGGAAATACTTGTGTCACTATCCTTGAAAAGACTAGTTATTATTGAAAAGTCTGTTTTATCTTGGACAAAAATAACGTGAAATTGGAAAATAATAATGAAATTTGATGAAGGAACATTTATTATTATTAATTTATTATTATTAATTGTATAAAACAAAGAGTTTTTAGTCTACCTCGATCTCTTTAAAGATTGGATATTGTCATATTTAATTAATAATTTTCAACATTTATTTATTTTATTAGGTAACTTTATTACGTAAAGACAGTGTGGACATTTCACAATGATGAGATCATATTAATCTTTTTTAAAATTTTTCTCATCTTATATGAGAAGAGGGATTTCAATTTTGCAAAAAATGAAGAAAAAAAAAATTAAAAAACATCGATGTAGAGAATATTTTCAGAATATATTAAGAAATAAGATTTCTATAATTAATTTTGAAATTAACTTGGTGTTTTTTAATTCTTTACCTTAAAATTTATTGTTAATCATTTAACTCCGTAATCAGAGTTTGAAGAATCGAAAGTGAATATCTTGTTACAGATACAACATGCCTGTATCGAATTGAAATTATTAAACGGTGACACAATTGCGACGGGATGTTATAATTCGAGATGTTAATGAACAAAGCCTGTTTGACAAATCAATCCATGTTCAATATCTTCGCGGGAATTTACAATCTTTACCTTGGAAAATAAGAAATATGATAAATATTTATGTGTTGCTTGATACGCAGAAAAGAAGAGAGAGAGAGAGAAAGAGAGAAATAAAGTGAAATGAAAAAAAATATATACCTCTTTAATTTCACAAATATATGTATATAATATTTTACTTTCAAAAATTAATTATAGATATAGAATTGCAAATAAATAAAAAACTGCAAATATTTCCTCGCGTACGAGAAATATAAAACTAACTAATATATAAATTACATATATACAGAATACATTAGAATTTTATATTAAGATAAAATAAGTACGTTGTTAAGTTTTTTATTCATTACTACATAAAATAAAATAAAATAATATTTGTTTAATTAATTATAAAAAACACTCACATTTAATGTATTCTAAAATATTATAAAAGTGTATATTAAACATGTTCAATAAGGAAAAAAGAACGCAAGAGTGAATAATACTTTCACGAACTTTGTATAAAAATACATATTCTCGTACAAATTCATAATTCATATACAACAATGAATACATTTTATTTCTCGTCAATCCTCTTAACATTTCTAATATTTCTCTATATTACTTGACTTATCATATAATTAAAATCAATGGAATTTTTTTTAGCTTAAACTTTAAAAAAAGCTGAAAAATCGAAGAATAAAATCGATAATTTCGTATATACCTGTTCCATTCAACGAGGGGAAAAAACGACGCTCGCGCATCCGAAACAAAGGATACACTTCCTACGTGTTTGCCCCGATTGGCAAACAAACGAGCACAAGATCGGCCGATCCGATCGCTACGAGCTGCGGCCGGGTGTCCAACTTTCACTGACAACTCGTTAGGTCTGCCGCCATGGTTTCGAATCATTCACAGTCATTGCGCGACGTCGGTAGACTGCGGTAGCGACGCTCGAACACCTCCGTCGTTCGTCGTCAAACGCATTCTTTTCAATTCGCTGTACTTGACCCATTCGATCGTGTTACTTAACCGGAATAATTATTTCCACTCGTCCGCGATCCGCGTTGTTTCTAATTAAAAAAATTAGAAAGCTTCATTATCGTTACAGTTTCAGAGTGTCGATGGTTTCACTTCTTCACGAGAGTTGTATTTGTAATTTGCGTTTAAGGAAATTGGATTTTTTTACGTGTTAACAGAATTCGAAGGAATTTGGAAGGGAATTTGGAGGAATTTTTTTTTTTTCTTTTTCGTACGATGGAAATATAGTTTTGCTTTGGAGTTGTCGAGTATCGCGACGATTTGAACGTATCGAAGAAAGTGGAAGTGAATAGAAAGCGAAAGTTCTGCTGTAACATCCTACAGTCTGAAAGTCGACGATCTCTGGACACGGGCGTGCGATGCGTCGTCCATGTTACTCACAGGTATGTATTTTTTTGTTAATTTGCATTTATGCGCTGTAGAAAATCGGATTAAGGCGTTCCAATATGGCTGTTGCGTAACACGTACTTATGTTCTCCTTTCGAATTCTTAAGAAGTCGAGCGTATGTTTATCATTCTCTATAAGTTCTACGATTAATATTCTGCATTCGAATCTCAATTAATTATACAAGAAACTTAAAAAAAATTCAATTATATTTCTCTAATTTTACTCTAAATAAAAATTTATATATCAGATGTAATTTAATTATCACATTTTTCGAAAGATCTTCAATTTCATAAAAAAAAATTACCCTTTCCAACCCAAATTAAAATTTACCTCCACATACTATCAAATTCGAGCCATTCTCTATCTGATATAGTTTTTTTTTTTTCACAAATACAATATCTCTTCTCGCATACTCATCAAATCCAAATCTCAATTAATTTCACACACACACACACAAAAAAAAAAGAAAACAATATCTCTATTCTCACAATTCCAAAACTTCATTTATCTTTTCCAGACACCAATTAAACTCAAACTGATTGATCACGCCTTCTTTCGTTCCACAAAACGATATCTCCAGTTTCACAATTCCAAGGCTTCGTTATCCTTTCTCCTCGAATAATCGAATCCAATCGATTCCTTTTTCAAAACAATCTTTTCAACTTGTAACGAGAAACCGCATCATCGCATCATAAATTCCAATAAAACGCTCGATCGCTTTCTCGATCAGAATCAACATTCACGACGCGCTACGCTCACGCGATCGAATCGAAATAATATATATATAAAAAAAAAAAAAAAAAAA